CCCCTTGGTACCCTGCTCTGACCTTGTATAAAACAATTTTGTAGGATTGCTAGAAGTTAAAGAAAGCTAGCTAGCCCTGTCTAATACCTAGTAAGGGTTTGCTATAACATGGATTAATCCTCTCTAGACCCAGTCTCCCCTTCATGGAAAGAATTATTGGTTAAATCTTGTTATGCAGCATTATAAACTTCTGAACTTCAAACTCCAAACCCATTATGGCTAAGGGAATCTCACATTCTTGCTGCCACTTTTCTGACTTAAAAGGTACAGAACAGCCCCCCCCCATCTACGTACGTTTTCCTAAGCTGCAGTCGCAGGAAGGACTGCTAGCTAGGCTGCTGTGCCAAGCCATCTCTGCTCGTGTACCTTACACAAGTCTGGGTGCAAAAGAACCACATGGAGGAGAAAAACATAGTGGCAGAAACATGGTATTTTCCACCTGGTCTGGTTCCTTTTATAAGGTTAATCATCTGCTTTCAATAGCATAGCCCTCTAGATAAACACTCCGTTTTTTCTTATTCTGCAGTGATAATACTCTAAAGCTATAAATTAGTAGCTGTTCTACAGTTTTAATCAATCATTTTATATCTGGATAATTGCCATTCCACATCTGCAAGTTATTTTATTCTGATACTTTAATAATAAGCTTATCTGGTCCATCAATCACAGTCACATTAGTTGCAAGTTGCACCAGAAACATCTGTAACCCAATCAGTTTTCATTGCAAGATAGATATGAACAGGAAGCCACACAGGGTTGCCATTAGCAGAGCTGTAGAGTCCTGCCTGCCGTTGTCGTGGAGAGAAGTGCGCTGCAGAGCTTTCTCTAACCGGCTCAGCTCTGGGACTTAACCAGTGGACTGTACCACGCTATTATAATGAAAATAATTCTACTACCTTCTTCTCCCTCCTTTCTCCTCTTCTGTTTCTCTGCGACACCCATCCAGTCTGCATGTGGGCCATGTGCCCATCTAGCTTGTCCTTACTTGCACTGGTCTCCTAAAGAGAAGTAAAAATAAGTACTAGTAGTAAGGAAAGATGACCCTACTGCTCAGAAAGGCTAATCCAGTCCCTTGCATTAATGTCTTCTGCTGAGTACTTAAGATTCCTGCTTAAGACTTCTTCCGTTGCAAAAATTGGCTCTCAGCACCACTGAAACCTAGCCCATCTATGCCTGTGTAGCTTCAGACTCAGCCCTATCATTTAATTACCATTTTTCAACAGTTCTGAAAGGATCTGACTAGACACAGGCTAACAAGATAAGCTAATGCTCCATGTAGGCGTTCTCCTGAAATTCCTACATTTGCTAGGCATCCACAATATACGTCCCAAACCCAGTTCTGGTGGTGCCAAGTCAGCACTGAGGTAGTCAGCGTTGTTTGAACATGCTGCGAGGACCGAGCAGTAATTACAGCGTGTCAACATTACCTACTGCACCATTTTGAGTCAAGGCTATAGTTTAGCAATCGCGCTATTTGAAGAGGTTGTCATGGCATTCAGCCAGAGTGACCTCTATCTAACAAAGCATCTGGGGTGGTAATTTCACTAATGAGCAGAGTAAGCATCAACCCTGAACTAGATTTCATGCAGGTAAAAGCTTGGAGAGCACGATGAGCTTGGTGCAGCTTGTTGGCTGTAAAACAGACAGGGAAAGAAGGGCAGTTACTCACAACAGAGCTTCTGCCCCAAGAGCTTGTTCCTCAGTTTTAGCAACAAACAAGCTTACAATTATAGAAAAGATACTGCCTGTTTTCTGTAAGAACTGGGATTCTTGCAGCACTTTCCTTCTGCTACTTTGCATTATGATTAGATTTAAGTTAAGCAATTAACAGTAGTATTGCTCTTGAAGTAACTACACCAGCGGGCATACAGCTAGTTAATTCACCAATTCCCTCACACTGGCAATTCGGAGTGCCCATGGGTGTAGATAAATGCAATACCATGGTACTAGCCATCATGTATATTGACTTAAGTGTGCCCACAGGCACAAAACAAAATGCAATACAATAACTATTTGCTGCTCTAGGTTAACTGTGCTCATGGGTACAAGCAAACTCAGTGTAATGATCAGCTGTTCACCCTCCCAAAAGCACTCGGGATGAAAAACAACATCAATGGGCATCTAAATATAACCTCATGATAAAAAACCCCACACAACTGTGGGTACTGAAAAACACGGAGTGCTTGGGCCTATATCTAGTCGTAGAGCAGTAGAAAGCAGGAGGATTTAGTGAATGATGGCGTGTCAGTGTAGTCAGAATCTGCCCCGGTTTTGCCAATAGTTAATAAATCCCATCTCTCACCATTACTCAGTGGAAATGTTTTTTTTTCTCCCCCAACATCAAGTTGCTCCTGCTTTATTTTGAGTGTGAGGAAGATGATCACAGCTTTCCCTCTCTGGACATGAAGCAAGTGTTCTCTGCAGAAAATTCTGAGCAGCATAGAAACAAGAAGAAAACATAGAAACATAGCAAGAAAACAAAACAGCCATATCCCTAGGACCGTGCCCTTAAGTAGTCTGCATCTTTTTGATCAGCCTTACCCTACTCTTTCATACCCAAGCACAATCTTCTCTACCACGTGCACCGCATAAAGCCCACCTTGAATGCAGTTGCCTGAGGGAGCAGGACACCCTTCAGTTTATTTGTTTATCTTTGTAACTTAAAGCCATCTGAGCCTCCAATTAAACAGACGCTATATAATAGAAAAGGAGGCACTGTTCCCTTGAAGGAACAAGATCAGTAGTATTTCTTTTTTCCTAGCTACAACTGAAGATACTTTCACACACAATAAAAGTAGTGTTTTGCAATACTTGCTTTTCCCCCTTTTTCTTTGAATGACCTTTCACCACAGCCACAGGGACATTTGCAATAATTACTTCTTCCCCTCCCCAGAAATACTTACCATAAATAGAGCTTTCCATGCACAAGCAAGTTATCAACACAAAAATTTACTAATGCCTAGAAGTCTACAAACAACTACTACAGAAAAGCTTCCCTTAAACAAAATAAGCAGCTTCCACCCACGTAAAGTATCTGGAAAGATCACTTAGTCCATGGTTCTCACTCCTCCTAACCCCCTTAGTTGAAACAGCATCTAAGACTTCATTATAGTGCCTGAAATATTTCAGGCACTTTTCCCATGATCCTGTAAAGCCATGATTTCAATTGCCTCATTTTTAATCAACCTGAGATGGTTTAGTCCTGTTTCTTAAAGGGGCAGAGTTTCTGCATTCCTTTTGGTTCATGTCCTTGTTTACTTAACTCTTCCAAAACTGATTAGGATGGGTGATGTGTTCT